CAGGAAACTGCTTTGGGCTGTTACACTGATTGTTTCCAGAAATTTGACCTTTCAGGCAAGGGTCATGTAATGAAAATGTGGAGCTTGGAGCATCTTTATATAGCAAATACATTTACTTTTGTAATGAGCATTCTGAATTTCTAATGTTTGCAAACCTTGAGGAATAATGTACTGACCCCTTGGTTTATATGATTCTACTTTACATAATACATGATTTATTGCAGATATGTGTACATAATCATACTTACACCATCTGGCACCTTGAAGCAAGAAAAGTAGATCATAAACACATTCCCAGTGATATACACAGATGTTCAGCAATTGACAAGCTCATAAACACATGCCATTTTATGTATCGGGGTATTAACACCTCATTATATGTTAAATATCTGTTATCACATAATATTGTTTTATAATCCTCTGTTGTTTTAGTATTTACGATATTTACAATATACTGTATACTGGTGTGCTGTGTATGCCACTCTGTTCCATGTGCAGGCACAGAACATTAGATAGTCAGATTCATGTTTCTATTACAGCTGTACAGTGGACATTGTGTATATATTATGCTGTATTTAATTTATATTAATTTGAACTAAATTGAGTGGAAAAGTACAGAGAGGTGCTGCTCAAATGCTGAGAAGTGGGAATGAAATTCTGATGACATTAATTCATTTCAGTAATGATGCAGTTTACTACAGCAGTGTTCCACAAATTCATGGATGCTACCTGGATTTTTTCTGGGGGAAGCCTGAATGTTTCCTTATGAACTTACATTTAAGCTGTTTCAGACTTTTTTACTGATTTCTCTAGAGTAGCCAGGATATAAGAATTGTTTTGAAAATATTTTTAATTTTTGATATTAATATTTGGTATATTTCCTTTTTCAATTTTGATTTTTTTACAAAATTCTTAGGGGGGGGAAGATACCAAGCTCCTCCTGCCATCCCCATTGCCAGGCCACATGTGCCCACAGGTTGTGCATCACTGCATTGACTGGAAAGAATTTTACAGTACCTGACCAAAACAGGTGAATATCAAAGACATGGGAACCAGTGTGGAGGTCAAAAGGGTAACATTCTGTATCTTAAGTGACTATTCTTGTTGCTATTCAAACATTCTATTACATACTGCTGCTGTAAACAGGATTGTTTTGTATACTGTTCTAACAAGCATTTGTAAATTTATTTGGAAAGATATAGCGATATTCTTGACACCAGAAGTCAGTAGGCATGTTCTATGGTCCAAATGACATTAGACAAATGAAATAAAATAGCATTACTATTCCTGTTAATAATATAATCAATAAAATATTGTATGTTCTACTTTGTTGTAATAAGAACTTACTAATGTGACCAGTAATGAACACATAATTCATATAGTTTGAATTTTATCCCCAAGCCTTCATGAATTTTTTGTAAGTTGCAGTTTCTAACAAGATTGTTCAATTCTGGTTCTAAAATCATGTAAGGTATCATTGATGTGACTCGCTTAAGTCTGCATCTGTAAATTGAAATGTTGCAGTTTGTTCACTGTCCAAGTCATGACTTGATTATTATTCTTTCAGAGTCCATCCTTCAGGTGGCTGTGGTAGTGGTAGGTTCCCATACAAGGTATTGGTCAAATAGGTAGCAAGCTTGAATACTGTACAGAATGTTTCAACTGAAGAAAATCCAGATATATCAGTTTAATAGAAACTGCATGGTCTTTCTAATCTGTCTAGAGCACTGGAATCTTAAATGGCACTTCTGTGAACTTTTTAACCATACTCTCACTGACCCAGCATATAAACTGCAACATGGGTGGGAAGTCAGGCCTATAATCGTTTAAATCCCAACACCAGAAGCAGTCACATACAGAGACAGACACACACATGCTCTCTTACTGCAGTAAACTGAGGGGGTTCAATTCCCTATACATATAACGTAGTAACTAAACAAAGGTCAGAAGAACCAGTACAGAAGCTGTAAGACAGCCAACCAGGTAGGATGTGGTGTTTTTCAGTGCAGGACATGACAATGTCCAATGGTTGAGGGGTATCTGGCATTGTTATCCACAAGCTGCACATTTCCCTCTCTTCAACCAGAATGTTTGTTAGATGTTATATATTTACATTTTTTTTCAAGGAAAACATAAACATGGTTCCCAAAAGAAAATGTGCGTGATATAATCTCTGCAGAAGAATACATTTAAATCACCCAGCTTTATATGAGAATCAATAAATAGGTCACAAATGGACGTTAACCACCTGTAATGAACATAATAGGTTTTATATGCGTATCACTCACCTCCACCTAGTTCTGAGGTCAAAATGTGGATCTGCACATCCACTCCCCCATATTCCTTCGTGGCGTAGGGCACAGAGACAACTTTACCTTATCTTATCACTAGGCAGCCGCACAGGCCAGCTACAATCTAGGTAGCAGACATGCATATGCATGTTCAGAGGCTGGTTTCAGTAACCAAAATGGTGACCGTTATTATTATTATTATTTTTGGAGGGGGTGGGTTTCCCCATGCACTGCGACCGGTTGTTGATCTATTNTGTGGGCAAAAGGACTTGATGCAAAGGATATTCATAAAGAAATGTTTCCTTCTTATGGTGGGAAGTGTGTCTCGTGTAAAGCAGTTCACAACTAGGTTGAGAAATTCTCTCAGGGACATATGAAAGTCACAGATGATGCCCGACCAAGTTGCCCTGTTGAGACTGTGACAGAAGCAACTGTGCAGCAGGTGGAAGAGTTNTGTGTCCCTTTAATTTCTACGGTCGCCATGCCCTGGTAGTGGTCCCCGATACTTCCCCATCTAACAGAGGAATTGGAAACTATTTGGGCAGGAAACTTTTGCCTAATTTTGCTCACAGATCTCCTAGAGACATGAGGATCTTTTACGTGCCGTAAATCTACGACATGGGACACACANCTAGGTGACAGGAGGATAATGATAGGCAGTATGGCAACTGCACTCGCTCAAGTGGTTATTTGCTGGCTTCCCACCGCAGTGGCCCGGGTTCAATCCCGGGNAACGTTACCCCTAGACTATGGAGGCTGCAAAAATGGTGACCATACTTAAGCATACTACCAAAGAGCAGCATTCTGTTGTGCATTTTTGTGGACAAAAGGACTTCATGCAAAGGATATTCATAAAGAAATGTTTCCTTTTTATGGTGGGAAGTGTGTCTCGTGTAAAGCAGTTTGCAACTAGGTTGAGAAATTCTCTCAAGGACATCTGAAAGTCACAGATGATGCCCGACCAAGTTGCCCTGTTGAGTGTGTGACAGAAGCAACTGTGCAGCAGGTGGAAGAGTTGATTCTAGCTGACTGGAGGATGATAGACAGTATAGCAACTGCACTCGCTCAAGCGGTTATTTGCTGGCTTCCCACCGCGATGGCCCGGGTTCAATCCCAGGGTCTGGTCAACTGGGATCTGTAGTGGACAAAGTGGCGCTGGGGCAGGTTTTCTCCGAGTACTTCGGTTTCCCCTGCCAATCTTCATTCCACCAAATTCTCCATCATCATAATCACCTGGGGCAGGCTACAATAGGCCAATCACTGGACCCAGTTGGACTCCACCCCTCACTAAGCGAATTAAAAAAAACTGCACTCGTGTGTTCCAGTGGTTTAGCATACACCATAATGCATGATCGTTTAAAGTTTCAGAAAATGTGTGCATGGTTGGTGCACGGAGAACGGAAGAATTTAAAACAAACGAACCACATGGGTCTGCCAGTGCAACAACTGCCATGTTATGCCCTCAGCTGGGAAGGTTATGCTATAATGTTTTGGGATTCTCATGGAGTACTGTTAGCCCATTTTCAGAAGCATGGCAAAAATGACTTCTTCACTGTGCTGTGAAGTTCTGCTGAAGTTTCAGGATGCAATTTTCAGAAAACGTCCAAACCACTTGGAAAGAGGGGTACTGCTTCTTCATGACAATGCCAGACCCCATACAGCCCAAAAACCCAGGAGAGATCTGAAGAATGACAGTAGTAACTTCTTGAACATCCACCTAACAGCACATAATTGGCCCCTCTTGACTTCTGTTTGGTCTGCTAAAAGACCACCCTGGTGGCAAACGTTTCACTGATGATGAAGAGACTGAAACAGAGGTGTGGAAGTAGCTGAGACAACAGTCAAAAAGACTTCTATGCTGCAGGTTTTGGTGCACTGGCAAAACAATGGGACAAGTGCATCAATGTTGGTGGAGGACATGGCAAGAAATAAATGTTCTTTTTCAGGTTTGAATATCACGTATTCTACATTTTATATCCACTTGTGACCTGTTTATTGACTGTCCCGCATACTAAGGAGAAAACCATTGCTGTACAGGTTACTGGGTTTNAGTAAAACGATGGGACAAGTGCATCAGTGTTGGTGGAGATCATATCAAGAAATAAATGTTTCTTTCAGGTTTGAATATCACGTATTCTACATTTTATATCCACTTGTGACCTATTTATTGACTGTCCCTCATACTAAGGAGAAAACCATTGCTGTACAGGTTACTGGGTTTGCTCACAAAATTCTGGTGTTTGTGTCCATGTGAAACTCTGTACCGAATGTATGATTTCTTTCTCAGTGGAGACTGACAGCAGCCCATGGAATTCTGGAGGAGGAGGCAAGTTTTATCATTACCTTAATTTACCAAAGTATTTAAATACCGTATTTACGCATGTATAGGCAACGTGCGTGTATAAGCCGCAGCACAATTTTCAGACAGAAATTATAGAAAAAATAATTTTCTTGGAATATTATTTCAGGAGTATTACACCCTGTATTACTAATTATGAATATAATTTTTTTTAAATGAAGTGTGATTTCGAATATAAGCCGCACCCCAGTTTTCCTCTTGAATTTTTGGCAAAAAATGTGCAGCCTATACGTGCGTAAATACGGTATTTCAAACCTGTACTTACTTGTCCTACCCTACTAAAATTGGTTTTACAAAAGATGAAAACATGTTTTATCTACATTTTAAGGGGCTAAAAATATCAAGTCAGATGATGGAACACTGTAATTTAATTATACATCATCATTTGGTTCGGATGAACAGGATGAGTACACTGTATTTCTGCCTGAACACACACACAAAAAAGTTAAGTATGTTCACAATTTGACATAATAATTACACTGTACATGGTGAGAGTAGTTACTAAAAATACTTATTGAGCACCATAACTGAAAGCTGTTTCATGCATAGCCATCTGAAAGTTTCTTCAAAAAAAAAAAAAAAATACTGCAGAGGATATGAAATTCTAAGTTAATTTGAAATTTCCCCTTTTAACAACTACATTAACTTGTTTGCCACAGACTCACAAATTCACTGAGGATATAAAACAAGCACATGTTAGTAATTGCTCACTGCCATTTCTAGGTGAAAAAACTTGGTTTGTGAACTTCTTTCTAACACTGTCTGGTCTAACCAGTTATGAATTTCTGTGATCCATTCCTGAGAATTCTCTAGAGCCTCAACATTCTCCGTCACCTCTCGAGAATTTGCACCTGATCCGTTTGCTGAATCATCTAACTTGTATGTCTTATGTCCAATGGTATGTACTTGTGATCTAGCCTTTGTATTGAGAAGATGAACATTAACTGGAAGTGACTCTCTGACTTCAGACTCCCACAACTGCCAGTTCATATATTTCATCCAGCCCGAAACCAATTCAGTCCACCAAACACTGCCATGTGACCACAAGATATCATCACTTTTATTTACTAGGTACTGATCATGGAAGCAAGCAGTCCCACTGTCATCATTACAGAGAAAACCAGAAGCCTCAGACTCATTCACTGAAGGACAAGAACCAAGTGATGCTAAGATGAAGCTTGTAGCTAAAACATCGCCTGGTGGCAGCACTCGAGGCTGTGGCTGGACGCCTGAAGTTTCTTGGAGAACAGATGATGGTAAGTTACTGGTTGATGATGATACACTTGTGCTTATAGGCGTTCCTGGGATCTGACTAACGATGAATGCTGAGCCAATCATTGTCAGTACACTGGCTGTGTAACTCGTCAGACAGACAACAGAAACCTGGAAACAGATGCCACCATGACTTATTTTTATTCTTTCAGTCTTTATTCCTGATTGCAGTAACTGAATTCTGTTACCAAATGTAGAAATTTCTCATATACAAGAATATTCACATTAGCATTACATTCGTTTTAAAACAGAACACTGTGTTCACTCACAGTTAAAACTGCCTGCGCAAGTGCAGCTAAGTCCACTGTATCCAGCAGGTTTTCAAGGTCTGTATACGAGAACCAGCCTCTACGTTTGCCCTCCTTCAGAGCAATGTCTTTCTCCATCCTATAAAGTCTTGTCCAAAATGCTTGATTGCTGACAAATACCTCCCATTTCTTAAAATAATAACAACACAATTTGAATAACCATTATAGAAATTAGCCATGCATGTATTTAAGCAAGCTAAATATTAATGATCAAAACACATACAAAGTTATGTGGGGAAAAAACTGGTTCCATAATGCAGTATGCCCCAATTTATGTGACAATCATGTACGGAAAGAAAAAAAAAATCACACAGGATGAAATCACATAAATCAAATATAATTTCTCCATAATACAAGTAAATTAAAATGTCATTGTTCATAATCATCCTTTCATACAGTTTATCAGCTAACTAAACTTGGAAACAAATGCACATTCTGTCATTCAGAAGATGCTAGTCCCCACAGTAAGATTCAAACCTGGGACATCCCAAATACGAAGCATGAGTACTAATGATTATACCCTGATGCCCTGTCAGTGTGTTTTACATTAATACAAGTAAATTTGTAGAAATAAGGTACTAACAATAGCCTGCAGGAAGTCCCTCTCAAACTGATTTATATCCTCCAGAGTGAGTCCTGCTGATGCAGCCCATTCGTCATTGAATACTTCGTCTGGTTCTCCATCATCATGTAAAAATTTACTAGCAACCATCTAGAAACACAAAGTATCTCTGAAAATTCTGGATAAACACAAGAATGGAATTTGCAATTAAATCATAAGGTCTACATGCTGTCAAAAATGAAGGCACTGCTTTAAAACACTCGACTTATTATTAATAGATTTTAGTCCATTGATAAATACATTAATTAAATCCCCGCTTCATAAACAGGATGTGCTCTAGAGGCTTACTTCTTTGCCTTCAGCTTTAAACTAAAGTGTCCAAATGTTGACAAACACAGTGTCATAAAGGGATAACACAGCCAACCCAACAGTACCCCATTTAACCCATAAGCAGGTAGAAATATATGTAGTTCCAACAGTGAAGCAGATCTGTTCATCAGAGCACACAAAAAATAATCTTTTATTGTTTTGTACCTGATTGTTGGCAGTGCCTTCCTTACTACAAGTGGAATTTTTTGAGGGGAAGCAAGTGTAATTAGATGATGATGATGCATGAGACATTTCTGGAGATACGCAGGGAAAACCTGGGCACTTTCAAGGACTGTAATACCAACATTACCCTATTACAGAACATCCCAAGAACTGTAAGCATTATGCTCCACTGCCAAAAGTACAGTGAGATATACTGCAAGCATGCATGCAGGTAGAAAAACTAACACTTATTCCATCAAGTTAAGGCACCCAATAATAATTTCACTTTAATGAAGTTATGACTAAACAACTCATTACTAATCCTAAGTACAATGGCTGGTTAAAAAATAAAAGGTAAAGCTGTCCCTGCAACAAGCCATGGAGGCCCATAGGGTTGTGAGACACTGAGGGTCCCACATTTTCTCTAGATAATCAACTCGCAGATGGCGGTAAGGTTGTCACCCTTACATGCCCGCCGCCCTTTACCTCCAGGAAGATTCCTGGTACTCATTTCTGTGAGAGGCTGAGTCGACCCCAGGGCCATAGTGCGGCTGGAAAGATTAGGTCAATTGGCAATGACTGGTTAGTTAGTACATATTAAGTACCAAAACTCCAATGAAACATCAGAAATTGAGTCACGGGACCAAATAAAACCCAAAGCTGCACTGTCTGATACAAAAAGAATCTGGTAGAATTAGTAGCTGAAGTATAATTTCATACTCTTCGTAGATACAACAGAAGACATTCAAAGTCACAATTCATACATTTCAGCAGATGAAAAATACCAGGAGTCAATACTATGGAAGCTTAAACATTACTACGTTTTTGGACTTGGTCCATTGTCCCATATTCTAAAAGCTCACGAACACATTTCAGAAACTGGATTTCTTTGTCCTTGGGTGAGGGGGAGACACCTACTCTGGTGAGTCCCTACAAAGAGCTGACCTCAATCACTAGATAACCCATGTCACTATAACTGCAGCTATATAAATATGTGAGACCAAGCTATGTCTAAGGGAGATTACAAGAAAATATACAATAAAAATTGTGTTAGAGCATGCACAAACCTGAAAGTAAGGTAGAAAAGGAGGCAAACATTTTAGTTTTTAGAATATCAGATGATGGACAAAGTCCAAAAGCCCAGTAATTCTGAGGGTCCTTTAGAAAACAATGCCAGTAGCAAAATTTTGGATCACTGTTACAATGAACTCTGTACTATTGTATGACGTTCATATTGTAACATACTTCCATCAAAAGAGCAATGCTTAACAACTGAAAATAAACTTCACCACTGTGGATCATAAACTGTTACCATTGAAATGACAAAAAGTTCTGAAGGTGCAACTCGTTGTAAATATTCAGGATTACAGGTTTTAAGACGCTCCAGATACAATAAAGCAAGCACTAGTGAGCAAGGGGAGACGCAAGCACTTCTAGACATTGCAGAGGCTTCCTCCAAATCCAAACGTTCCAGACTATGACCAATCTTAACCTCTGAGAAAAGTTCTGCTGCCAGTTCTGTAACAGATGTAATAATGTTATACCGTATGAACTGCATGTAAGGTGAAGAGAATGAATTCGGTTCCGAAACTTCGAAATGTCAAATCTAAATGGAAACTCTTATGAAATGGCTGACAAACAACTTAACAAAAGAAAACAATACTGTAAAACGTAAGATGTTATACCTGAAACTGGAAGACTGAATCTTTCCGTAATTGGAAGTTTGCCATAATACAGTGTCTTCTTTATGCGAGAAAGGAATTCATTATGATTTCCCATAACCTGCAAAGTATACAATAATGAAATTTTGCAAACGACTATTATTATATGTGGGCTGAAACTATTACAGAACTAATTGTACTGAATCTAACATTTAAATACAATGAGTTTCCAGTGGAATTCACACATTGCCTAGTCCTCATGACCCAGCCTCACAGGTTGATCGGCCGATAAGATCTCTATACATTAACGCATTATTGCGTTCAAACTCACCTTGAATTTACTTTTTGTGGCATCTCGCCTTCTCTTTGAAGACACAGCTAGCGAAGACATTGCTTCGAAATACTATTATTCTTATACCGACAGACTTATAAGCGCCTAAAAATATTAGTCTTCCGCCCTCCTTAGCGCTTCTTGGTGCGGTTACATGACACGGTTTGTATGCGCCAAAGAGTATAGTAACAATACAAAACGCTCTAACAGCACGGATAGGCACCACGTAGCCTACATGCCATATGAGGGCTAGAACACATCAAGGAAACTGGCAACTGCAACGCAACCGCAATTTCGATTAATTGTCGCCCATTTCAAGAAGGCAACTGGTTTCCAGGTTAGCAGGCGCAGGGTATGTTCCTCCGACGTAATGCATAATTGTACTTTTTAATTTCGTGCACTTACCTTCTGCAGTGGAAGGTAATAATACTGATCTTGTCGTATTATGGTGGTAGTTGAGACCGGTTGAGACGGCGTGAGAAGAGAGGACGACGACCATAAGGAAAATATTGGGATGTTAATTAATTCGTTTTAATTAATGTAAATTTATTTTAACCAGGAAATACCGCGTTCGCAAGCGATACGAAATTTTTACATACAGTGAAACTGTTTTAGCAAGAAAGGAGATATCTGATGATGGAGATATACACCCGAGCCATGAAATGTGGAAGAAGGGTGACTATAAAATAAATTGCGTTTAAGACGGAAATATATGTGAAATAAATGATATATTGATGCAACAGGATGCTTAAATACAGTATTAGGAAAAGAAAATATTGGGTGCATCCGTTCTTCCGTGACAGTTTAAACTCAGGCTCTTATATTGTTTCGAAAGAACTTAACCAGGATCCAGACTCCCTAGTCTCACGAGAAATTCTTTCCCAAGCCAAATCTATGTTGTCCTGATTAGCATAGTCTGGGTCGTCTGGGTGGCCTCTTGCTCAATTAACTGCATAAAAACAAAATTAACAGCTTCGTCGACCTTTCTTGCCATCAAAAGAAACAAATGAACCACTGAAGCGCGTTATAGAACAGATGACAATAGGAAATCACGCGGCAACGCGACTGTGAGAAGACTGGCATGCTCCGTTGCCTGGAAGTTGAGTTTCTCAGTCTTTCCGCAAGTTGCTTTGCTGTTTCCTCAATTTGCGCTGCTCCATTCAGTAACATGTGTTGAACTCAGACTGATAACAATTCTCGGAAATTGCAGTTGCCAGTTTCCTTAGTGTGCCCTCACCATAACTGCTTTGAATTTCCCATGACGCAAATCGTAAGAGAGGGTTTGAAGTAATGTTGAAAGGTGGTGCTTGCGATTGTAGTTTGTTTTAATTTTCATCGCACAGTTCAGATATTTGGGAACAACGATAACAGATCGAAACCTGATTCAGAAGGAAATTATATAAGAGGAGACTGAACTCGGGTAATGTTTGCTACCATTCAGTCCTGAACCTTTTGTCTTCTCGTCTGCTCTCCAAAAAATTAAAAATTAGAATATAGAGAACTATAATTTTGCCCTTGGTTCTGGATGGGTGTGAAACTTGGTCTCTGACATTAAGGGAGGAACATAGACTGAGGGTGTTTGAGAACAGGGTGTTGAGAAAAATATTTGGGCCGAAGAGAGATGAAGTGACAGGAGATTTGAGAAAACTGCATAATGAGGAGCTTCATAACTTGTAATCTTCTCCAAGTATAATTAGAATGATCAAGTCAAGGAGGATGAGGTGGGTAGGGCATGTAGCACGAATGGGTGAGACGACGAATGCATATAGGATATTGGTGGGAAAGCCAGAAGGAAAGAGTCTACTGGGAAGACCAAGACGTAGGTGGGTGGACAATATAAAAATGGATCTTAGAGAGGTAGGATGGGATGGTATAGATTGGATTGATCTGGCTCAGCATAGGGACCAGTGGAGGGCTCTTGTGAACACGGTAATGAACCTTCGGGTTCCATAAAATGCTGAGAAATTCTTGTGTAACTGCAGAATTGGCGGCTCCTCCAGAAGGGCTCAGCTCCATGAGTAAGTAAGTAAGTAAATAAGTAGTGTCTGGAGGTGGCCTGCCGTAGCATAGGTCTTTGGATTTCTCAATTGACCCTATCCTTCCAGCCGTAATACGGCCCTGGGGTCTATTCAGCCGCTAGCATAAATGAGTAGCATCTGTCATCTTAATATTATTGGCTGGCAACGTAGCCGCCTTGAGGCCATGATATAGATAACTGGGTTATCTATAAAGAAGGGAATTGCAGTATTTAACGTTATAAAACTTTGTTAACGCTTATAATACCGATCAGTTGCAAAGTGCACGCGAGGATGCTGTAACTGTCATTGTGTACGAGAGTTCTCGTGGGGGCAGTAGCTGTTTTTGGCGCTCTCGCTGTTATGTCCGTGTATGAGTGTACATGATGACCATGACTGATATGACGCATCTGTAGTGCGACCTACGGCCGGAGCGGCAATAACGAAAGCATTAATGCTGCCTTCTATGCTCCTTTGTTGGTCTATTGCAGCATGCTCGAACGTAAACCAAATGCAGTCCGATGTAATCCAGTCAGTGCTAGGTAGATTGTAGTACGCTGACGCGCAAACCTATTGTAACCAAACTTCATGCGATTTGACCACACTGCCCAATTGACAAGGTGGATGCTCAGTGGTGCGCGCACCAACGTAACCTAACGTAACTCAATCCTACCACGCTTGGGCCAGACGCTCAAAGGGATTCGCAGTTGCATGATGACGCAACCTGACCTAACGTACGTCAATTTCACCACAGACGCCCCAGTGGGCAGGCACACGAAATTTTTCGAAAACATAAAATATTTAAAAAGTAATGGATAATCTCAGAATTATTAAATTAATTGGATTTAAAAAATGACCGCTCGGCTGCCGTGACCGGCTGAGTTTATCCATTGGTTCCAGGTAATTAAAATGCGCAAATAAGAACAGTATTCATATTGAAGAACGCGTTCATATTATTACTACCTGTATAACGACATTTTATAAATGTATGTGAAATAAAAGATGTGTAGGGACACGCGGTAGCGTGGTTTGTTGAAGCATCATGCTAAACCCCGGAAGGTCGCGGATTCGATTCCCGGTGAGGTCATTGGATTTTCAAATTTACTTACTCCTTCTAGCCACACTGTGGCCCCGGGGTCGACTCAGCCTCTAACGGGATTGAGTACCAGGAATCGGCTGGTGCGTAAGGCTGACAGTTTCACCGCCATCTGTGAGCCGATTGTCTAGGACGCCTCGACGCCTCACGATCCTACGGACCTACACGGTCTGTTACAGGGATACTTTACCCCAGACGCTCCAGATCAGCAGAATCCCAGGGCCATGACCTCACAGCGTACGAGGACAGCTTCATTTTTTACCTTTGAAAAGTAACACTTTTATGGTGAGTCCTTATAAACCCGAGATCGCACAGAAAATTTAGGATTCGTCACGCAGTCGTTGATGAGTGGACAGCCGAACAAGCCGGAAACATCATTCAGTAGAAGGACATACGTCCTGATCAGTATCTGTTTTCCGTTGCACCGCACTTTCTGATTAAAATTGTCGTTTGTAAAGAGACGTTGTTTTGTGTTGCTGCACGATCATGGAGCTAAAGAAATGAAGGTCTCAGTTTCCATCTGTTACGTCACGTGTCGACAACACACAGTGCTGCAATCACTGTCGGCAAATATGTAATCAAATACGTAAAGCATGCGCAGTGCGGGTAAAACGAAACCTTGACTTAAGGCGTGCAGTTTCTCATTTACGTCACTGAATTCAATGACGGTTTATGTACTGAAAAATAGTTCTAAATGTCACAAACAGAGGACAGTCTAATTGTAATATGAAGGTAATGAAGAGACAGATGCGCTTCCGCTTAATTCTAGTTCATGAAGTGGCACCCTGTTCCTATTGACTTGCTCCAGAACAAACCTCCATGAGATAAACTAAAACCAAATAAATCCGTAGCCTATAGTCCGCAAGCGAACTCTACCGACCGAGCGACCGCCAATTGTCGGCGAAATTAGCGGATAGAGCGTGTCACTTTGTCAGCGCAACGAATCCCCACTGCCGTTAATTTTCGATTTTTAGACCGGAGCCGCTCTTACCTTGAAATAGATCCTCAGTTATCCTCACGAGGCTGAGTGGACCCCGTTCCAGAACCACTACTTCTCAGAAAGTTTGTTAGCGCCGGGAATCGAACCGAGACCTGTGGATCTGTAGTCAGGAACTCTGACCACTAGAGATGACGAAGATAAATATTCTTGACCCCACCGGGAATCGAACCCCCGGTCGTGTGGTCAGTAGCCATTTACTATACCGACTGAGTTTTTAGAATAAAAAGAACAATACGAAGTTGAAATCACATCCTTAAGGAAAACTGAATCAGGCGTACAGCAAGGAAGTGTCTTAGGACCCGTTCTATATCTTACCTACACAAGAGACCTCCCGACATCAGACAACACAACAACTGCTACCTTCGCTGATGATACAGCAATCTTAGCCACACTTGAAGGTCCAGCGGTAGCCTCAATGGAACTGCAAGTCACCACAAATAAGATGGACGCTTGGGCGAAGAAATGGAGAATTAAAATAAATCAAGGCAAATCCACGCATATTACATTCACTCTACGCAACCAAACCTGTCCGACAGTGCAAATGGGCAATCTACCCCAGAAAAATGAAGTGAAATACCTGGGCATTCATCTCGATAGAAAACTGACGTGGGCAAAGCACATCAAAACCCAAAGAAAACAGCTCAACCTACGAGTAAAAGCAAAACAAATGAACTGGCTACTCGGAAGAAAATCAAATCTATCAACAGAAAGCAAACTCCTCCTATACAAAGCAGTACTCAAACCCATATGGACCTATGGAATTCAGCTATGCTAGACAGCCTCCGATTCCCAAAATCGAAATCCTCCAGCGCTTTCAATCCAAGACTCTCCGATCCATTCTGAACGCTCCTTGGTACGTACATAAATAACCACGGGTTCTATGAAGACCTACAAATGGACACAGGGTTCAGCGAAATAAACAATAGTGAAACTGTACATAGATTGTAGTAAAACCACCAGTACAAGCGTGACAATGATAAGTAAGTCGTACATGAGCTACGCAACTGGACATAACTCATTCATGAGCCTATACAAAATGCACACATACATTTATTGCAGACACTGCAGAT